TAAACCCTTCTCCGTTTGTATCATCAGCAAATGGTGTTATACGTTTAAAGGTAAACCCTTCTCCGTTTGTATCATCAGCAAATGGTGTTATCCGTTTAAAAGGTAAACCCTTCTCAATTTGTATCATCAGCAAATGGTGTTATACGTTTAAAAGGTAAACCCTTCTCCGTTTGTATCATCAGCAAATGGTGTTATACGTTTAAAGGTAAGTAGAGTAGAATAAAAATATATATACATAAAGTTGTTTCTTTTGTCAACTAATGATCGATCAAATTTTATAAAAACAACTGTTTTTGATAAATTAAATGAAGTTGGAAAAAAATTCAGTCAACACTTATAATAGAAAGTATTAGATCAGTAATTCCTAGTTGTCAGTTTCTATGGTGATAATACATTTATTGTTGGTACAAGTAACACCATTGAATGTTAGCTTGTCATAAGTTGTCCAACACTAGGTTTGATGAGTCCAGTTTGAAGTAAGAAAAGTAAGCTGCAAGTGCTGTTGTTGTACGTATGCTGTTGTTGTTGTACGTGTGCTGTTGTTGTTTGTACGTGTGCTGCTGTTGTTGTTTGTACGTGTGCTGCTGTTGTTGTTTGTACGTGTGCTGCTGTTGTTGTTTGTACGTGTGCTGCTGTTGTTGTTTGTACGTGTGCTGCTGCTGTTGTTTGTACGTATGTTGCTGTTGTTGTACGTATGTTGCTGTTGTATGTACGTATGCTGCTGTTGTTGTATGTTAAGATAATCAAAAGCCCATTCTCAAACCAATAAAAAAAACAGAGAAATAATAAGTGTTTAGGAAATATGGAATTATAAAATATGATATGTAATAAGTGGTCAAGACATGACCATCGTGTAATCATGTATAATAAGTGGTCAAGACACCACCATTGTGTAATTCCAAATTTCACTCCTTGTTTATAGCTGTTTTTCAGTGTAATTCCAAATTTCACTCCTTGTTTATAGGTATTCTGCAGTGTAATTCCAAATTTCACTCCTTGTTTATAGCTATTCTTCAGTGTGATTCCAAATTTCAATCCTTGTTTATAGCTGTTCTTCAGTGTAATTCCAAATTTCACTCCTTGTTTATAGCTGTTCTTCAGTGTAATTCCAAATTTCACTCCTTGTTTATAGCTATTCTTCACTTGATATTTTTATACCATGTTAAACACTTTCAAAAAATCACTTTTCAAATGAATACTCTGTTTTTTCTCCATATAGCTGATGCCTTATGTTAACTTCCGAACCATTTGTTGACCATTTTTATAGATGTATAATCTCTTAGTGTTACTGGCTAGTTTAGACAATTAAATAACAAAGTGAATTGATGCCACTATATGTTTATTTGTTGTTCAACAATGTTTTTTATAGATCTAGCATGCTGCTTATAGGTATCACACTTCCTGTGATTTTGTTTAACATTTGTTTAACAACAAGTAAAAGCTTGGTATGGTCTATCCTTTCACTGGTGGTGTGTGTCTGTGAGCCAGAATTAACCTGATTGTATAGAATGTTTTTCTCAGTTTTAACAAAAATCCAGATTTAGAGGTTGTCTTCAACTAACAATTACAAAATTTTAACTTAATGAAAATATAATTTCTCTGAATCAACTCACTTTTATTTGTTTTAGAATATAGACAAAATAGATGTAGTAGAATCTCTCAGTTCCATGGGTTACTAATTTAATTTCAACTCTCCCAGTTGACATGGTGATGCTCTCTTGTTTTTCATCATCATGTTTGTTGAGATGAAAGCTATAAATACAAACTCACACATAAATTTAAAAATAACCTTCAATGGCCTTGTTTCGGTAAGAAAAAAGCTCAAAGCACGTTAGCCTAATTTTTATACTAAAGAAAGTGTATCTTAGCAATAGGCTAGATGATCACCCTTAGCAACCCGTGAGAAATTACAACAGTAGGTCTGTAGTTAGAGCTTTGATATAATATAGCTGTAACTTGTCAGATTCAAGTTTAAAGACATGCATTTATTTATTATTTGTTAAACAAACCTAAACAGATTTTATGAATGGAAAATGTGGACATTTGATGACTGTTTGGTCGATATATATTTATGTACGTTATTTGGAATGAACCTCCATATATTGCATTACTGTTTCACATTTTTAACTTGTTATAACGCTGTGAGTGTAAAAATAGGTTTGGTTCATTTCACATTTTTTTAATTGTCAAAAAGTTGAATAATCAAAAAAGCTTTAACGACTTTACAGAGTTTTTATTAAAACTTATTTCTATGCAGTTATAATAAACACTTCAATACATAAAGAGAGTAACCCCTTTAATGAAAACTAATCAAAATTATATTTAAAACAGTGTGTGATAATGTAAATACCAAGTGTTCGCCTTGATGAGTGCTATTTTATGATTTGTTCAAGGAAAGATGATCAGCTTTTATAAAATGTGACACATCGTAGCAAAAAGAATCAATTCAACAACCTGGTTCAGTGTTTTATATTCTAGACACGTTAACTGGTATACTGCATGCATATAATGTACAAAAAAATAATAATACTCCTTGCTATATTATAGGACTTAGCCAGAAGACAGTTTTTATAGTAACTATTTAACTGGGATTGTTGTCATTAGATTAGTAAATATTTAGATACTTGTGTAGACTGAGAGGTTGTGATTGTACAATAAAAAATATATTTTAGAACATGGTGTCTTTTTTTTTAGAGGAGAATACCCAAGTCATTTACAAGAAAAACTTTTTATCACAGTGACGTTTCGATTTTCTATTGACCGTGAAAAATTTGATGTACCTTTGATTTTTAATTCCACACTAGGTTGTATTCAGATGCTTATTTAAAGAAACAACGAAAACGTAGAAAAAATAAATTTCTGAAACCTTATAAGAAAACTAACTTAGTAACACATAATGGAATAAAAGGTGAGATGAAACAGCTGTCGCATCTAGCCTATTGTATTACCGATCGAAAAAGTTACAAGATATCACCGAAAACACTTGTACGGTTGTTATTAACTAGGAGAAATGAATACCGTTATTTGTTTAACAATAACTGCATAGGTGGCGTGGGTTACTTACTGGTTGCCTTCAATCTGGTCGTTAGTTCTAAATTAATGATGGCCATGCCTAAACTTAAGGTATCTGACCGGACCGTTGTGCCTTATGAAGTACCATTTAGGTTGAAAACACCATAAAATAAAGTACAAAACTAGAGCTATATACCAAAAAGCGTTAAATTAAATAAAGGTGAGTATTAGTAAGGTCAAAATACTTTAAAAAAGTCAATGTAGTGAGGGAACCAGAAATATAAATAAATATAATTAAAATGCTACGTAAATTTAAGCCTCAACCACTTTCGTAATTGTGGATTATTTATTCATTATCTCTCTCTGGGAAGTCAACACACCACAGTAAATTAAAATAATCAGGAAGTTGATTTATCTTGCTAATATTATGCCGTAAAGATTTCTTTTGTTGGCCGGGTTATTATGGATTATCGGTAAAAAAGACTATATTGAACACTACATGAAAAAGCCGGAGCCGGGTTTTGAACCCAGGACCTCTGGCTGACTTAACGTACTTGCTGGTGAAAAGAACAATGAAAAATGAAGTCCACTTAGTGCTGACAAGAACTTTTAATTTTGTCGACTTCAAGTTCTTCATTTAGCATAATCAAGGTGACCAGATTTCCAAATCGAAAAACCAGGACAGTTAAGCCCTTAATTTCAAAATGATTATTACAAATTTGAAGTAATTTAACTGTTATTTAATTTACTTTAAATTTATTGAACAACTTCCACAATATTTCCAAATATATTAGTATTGGCATTGTTTTTAAAATAGTTTCAACTACTTTTTAAATACAAACATTTAAACTGAATAGTGCTATACAGTCTTACAGTGGCTAATAACCATAAGCTTGTAAGATTGAGTCTACTTACTGGGTAATTATGTAGGGATTTTTGTATGGTTTTGTGTATTCATTCCTACCCTGTTTCTGTGCTTTTTGGCATTGCCATCTTTACATCATAATTAATTTTTGTGCAAAAAATATTATTTGTTTCCCCCTCTTTTTTTAAACAATTTCAGTGAAGTAGTTTAAAAAGTGAACATTTATTTTTTATAATCCAATAGCAATATATATATTTTCAGTATCACCTGTTTCTCTAATTAAATTGAGGTTCAGAGAATCTG